TAGTAGCGATGCCCTTTCCTACTAGTAGCTTCTTGCTACTAGTAGTAATGCGCTTGTTACTAGTAATAGCTTCTTGCTCCTAGTAGCGATGCACTTGCTCCTAGTTGCACTTCGTTTCTGAAGTCAAGTTTCCTCTAGACTCTAAACATCTAGGAAACTAATCATTGTGCGAGCGTGTGCGACCTGCAGGGGTGGTGGCTGCTCTGGCTCGCAAGGTGAGCACGAGGGTGATGCAACGCATTCAATACAGCGACTCGGAAAGGTTTGCCGATTTTTAGTTGTAAAAACCAGCACTCAGGTAGATGAAGGATCTGCAGAAAACTCGAAGTGCTGCAGATTTTGTCTTTTCCGGACTTCGTCAGCGCCCACCTCAAGCTTCCCCCCACCTCAACTCACACGTCAGGTGATGGTATTTCCATTGGCGGACGGCCAGCTTCGTTGTGGTCTGTGGGAGAAGATGGCAAAGAACTGCCTTTCGGAAATGGCAAAAACGAGGATATACGCCTGATAGGAGGAAACCGAAAGCAACATGATCTCACATGTCCAGCGAAAATCAGAAAATCCCCGGTCACCTTATGAACCTAATGGAGTGATGAACCCACAAGGGCTACTAGCGGGCTCGGCCGTCGTCAATGCATCAATGTATTTCAATGGAGCCAGTCAAAAGGTTGGGGTCATATTGCAATTGCTAAACTTTCCCGATCTTCGAAACAATCAACACCTGGTCTTGCAATTCTTGGACAGTTTGAGGTCTGCGTATCGCTATGCCTTCAGTGCACGCAAGCTGGCCCTCAGTATACTAGGAACCTTGGAGAAGAATGTGGGGTCAATGAAGCCCAACAACACATGCAAGATGCAGGGGTTGCAGTTTTGCAGTTACAGTTTTTTGTGTTGATGTCACATCGATGTCGCTTTGAAATGTTTTGGGACTTTTCCAGCTTGCAAGTTTTGAGGTTGGCCTCTAGGCTCTTCGTCGGAGGTGGAACTCCCGGTGGAGGGCTTGTTGCAGGTGGAGGCCGGAAGTGGATGATTTGAACATTGTAACAACAAATTCTTTCGAAGCTCTTGCCATTCCTATCAGGTTCCTTATGCTATTAGGTGGTTGCAGGCCACAAGAGTCACTGGATTTGACAACAACTGGACTCGTCGTTCGCGTTTGGGCGCTTTGGGCGCCTCAGGAGCCGGCCGTCATGAGTCGTCTCTTGGCTTCATCTTCAGATTGGTCAGTCGTAATCGTCACATCATTCATCTTCAGCAACACAAACCGACACACGAACCGACGTCCTGTGGTAGCCAAAAAGGCAAACGACTTGAATTTTGACCATGGAGGTGCAGTGGTTGGAGGCCATCGCTTCTAGGTTGGAGGCCATTTCTATTATATAGTTTATGTTTAATGCTATTATATAGGTTGGAATTTGGCCATTGAGGTGCAGTGGTTTTGGTGCACGGCCTTTTGTGCTCCAGACTCGACATGGCTCACATCGCAGAGGACTTGTGCCGCAGAGGTTTCAGCGTTTTGGCGCCTGCTGCTGGGACGCTCTTCAGCGGCGGTCGACGCGGTCGACGCAGTCGACGTGGCCTATGTCAATGGCCTCCATTCTAATAGCGATGGCCTCCAACCTACTAGGAGGCTTTAGGAGGCTTTCTTGTGACTATGTCAGGTCTATGTCAGGTGGTCAAAGGTCTATGAAGTGCGAAGAAAACTCTCCAGTGAAGTTGTGAGGAGAGATGAAGATTTGAGAATGGTGAGTGGCCTTCCTTCGAGACATGTTTTGCAATGAATTTGCAATGTGTTTGCAATCAGGAAATGGATGATTCTGTCAGCCATGAGACCGAGCTGCAATGTGAATATGTTGGGCTTTGGCATGCTTTAGCCTGCAAGAAAGGCCATGGAAATGTAGAAACCACGAGATCCTGGTCCACTTTGGTCACGTCGTCAATGTTGGGTGACCATGCACTGCAGCTCGTTCTGCGCTCGTTGTCCGCGCTCGTTCAGGAAGAGGGCATTGTGCCGGGTGGCTTCGTGGGGTCCTTACTGGCACGAGAAGACGCAGAAGAGCGACGACTTCAAGTCTTACAGGAGAAGACTTGTTTTGGGGAGGAGGGCATGTTTTGTTCTGGAAGACACTTCTTAAACCGGAGATGTCGATTTGTTTCCTGTAGAAGGCTGTTAGGGGAGTTCTCGAAGATGCCAGTCCGAAGCGCGCTTCATCCTTGAGGAGGCGATCTCCTGGCTGCGAGCGCGCGGGGCGAACGAGGTCGGCTTAGTCGGCCACTCCCGTGGCGGTGTGACGATCTCTCAACTCGAAGGATGCTTTTGCCGAGCCACTTGGGATGAAGTCGGACGAAGGGAGGAGCGCATTTCGGGCATCGCTACGAACGGAGCATTTCGGGCATCGCTACTAGGGGCTCCTGGCCATACTACTAGGAACGAGAAGCTAGTAGTAGCAAGAATGAATGAGAAACAATAAGCTACTAGGAACAAGTGCCACGCTAGTAGTAACAGGTGCCTTACTAGTAGTAACAAGAAGCTACTAGGGGCTCCTGGCCGTACTAGTAGTAACAAGAAGCTACTAGGAGCTCCTGGCATCGCTACTAGGAACAAGAAGCTATTAGCTTATTGTTTCTACTAGCTTCTTGTTACTACTAGTAAGGCACTTGTTACTACTAGCGATGCACTTGTTACTACTAGGAGCAAGAAGCTACTAGGAGCAAAGGACGAAGTGAGAAAGCCTCCTAGAAGCGAGTCGTCTCCTAGAAGCGGCCTCCACCCTAAGAACGATTGCCTCCAACCTAGTAGCGTCCGTTGTTACTAGTAGCGTCCTTTGCTCCTAGTAGTAAGGCCAGGAGCGCCCCCAGTAGCGCTCCTCCCCTTGGCACATCCCCAGTTTTGATTCAGAAAAGGTTCAATTGCCAGGATCAGATCAAGGCTGTCAAGTCTATCAAATGGGACTTTCAGACAAAGTCTGATCATTGGTGTGACGCGTTGTTTTGTGGTTTCACCATTTGTGAGGTGAATTTGATGTTGAGGAAAGGATGCATGATGATCCGGAAGAATAACACCTCTCGGTTGTCCCCTTTCTAGTTCGGGGCACCATGTAACAAAAGATTGCCGCAGAAGAAGCACGTTTTCCCAATCCGTCGGTGTTTTCGCTGCGAACATGTCTCAAAAACATTCAAATGCTGGTTTTTGGAGAATGGCAGGTGAACCAGCCAGGTTATGTGTTTCGCATTGTCTCGCAAAGTTTTAATTCCCCTACACGCAAAGAGTACAAACAAGAAACCCAAAGAAAAACAGGGAAGTACCTTGCTGAAGACTGGCGAATACTGCAGGTGAACATTGCAGGTTTTCAGCCGCCGCAAGTGGATCCTGAAGATATCTTCAGAGCCAATGCCCTTGGGCCGATGCTGATCATTTGTGGTTCAGAGGACGAGGTCTGCACTCGTCCTCCATTGTCCATGAAATATGCCACCTGAAGGCAGTTCAGGTGAAACAAAGTGAGCCAAGGGGAAACGAGGTGCAAGAAAGTGATGAAAGACTACGAAAGTAGGAAACGACGAGTTGATACAAGACCCGATTCTCAATCACGTTTTCAAGGAGCCTATAATTAGTTTTCTCTCCAACCCAAGAGCGATGACCTCCACCCTAGCGTGTTCCTTTTTTTTTGTCTGTCATTTTGTGGGTTCTTGATGTTCAAGGTGCAAGAGACGGTCCAGAGATTGCGACCCGAAGCGGAGAGCTTCTACCCGAGTGGCGTGACGCACTTCAATCTACTGAACCCCAAAGTCGTCGAAACCTGGCGCACCACGTGGCCTGGCG